TATGAAAATAAATATGATGAACAAGACACTCAAAGTGCTTGCTATTTAATTCCAATACGAAAGGTGTATTTATCCTCAATTTTTATTTTAATACAAACATGTATTTGAGATTTTTATAGATATATGACAATCACATATCTCACACAGAGATCGCACTGTCATAGTGTTTGGGAATATGCATATACATACACAATATATCATATACAATACATAATCACATGGAACCAGATAAAAAAAAAAAATATTTCAGAAGAGAACGCAGCATCACAGTTGTCTGAACCAATGAGCATTAAGATGTGTCGTCAGTCAGTCGTTTCCCATCATGCTTTTGATCAGCGCAGTCGGTGGAGAGCAACTGCGCTCGACTGCGCAATCCGACACAGCTGCCTCGCCGTCGCGAGAGTTTTTTGGCACACGTCAGCATGACATCAAAGCAAGTCATACGTAACTCGGACACTTTTCTAACCGGCATGCATCTCGCGTGATCACCGGTGATCGGTTCTGCGCAGATTTTGCTCATCTCAAACAAGCCTATTAGCACACACACTCTCTTTTCACTGGTGATTGAATATTGTTTAACTCTTCCGTGGTTCTTAGGCCCTGTCCACACGAATGCGGTTATTTTTAAAACCGCAGCTTTTTCTACGCGGTTTGGCCGTTTGTCCACACGCAAACGCAGCACCAGTTCACTGAAACCGAACATTTTTGAAAACGCCTGCCAGGGTGAAGATTTTCAAAAACTCCGGTTGCAGTGTTATCGTGTAGACAGCGAAACCGGAGTTTTTGCCTTGTGACGTCAGAGCCTGCACTCTTATCTCCGCCTACTGGAAACTTTTTCAGGCTTCTGATTGGCCAACATGGTTTTTGTTGGTTTGGCATGCTCTTGACAGTGCTTCATATCATGCGTTTGCGTTTTCATGTGGACAGAGATTTTTTTTTTAAAACGGAAGAAGGAAAAACTTTTAAAAAACTTTTTGTTTATAAAAATACCCATGTACGTGTGGACATAGCCTTAGTTTCCCTGTTTTCTTGCCTTCGTGTTTTGATCCCAGAACTGTCTCCTTGTTTATTATTGTTTACTGCCTGCCCTGACCTTCGCCTCGCTGTGTTTGCTTGCTGGTGTTTGACCCTGCCTGTTCTGACTACACTCTTTGGAATAAAGCCTGCACGTGGATCCCCACTTTGTTGTTACGCCTCCCTTCATTACAATGTCAGTCATTGTGATTTTGAGAGGGAATCTCACATTTATATGTGGATGTCACTCCTGAAACTTTGCGTGTTGGTCCTCTTGGCAGCATGAAAAACAACTTTTATTCAGATTTTGAATGGATTAGATATCCAAGTAAGTGTGCACAATGCGCTCCCTTTATAATCTCTAAAAATCTGTCACACATTTCCATTTATCGCAATCTCACTGTTAGAATCAATGAAGCTACACTGCACAATGAATCTTTTATTCACATCGCGTCTACACTTTGTTTGTTATAATGACAGGACTCATGAGTTTGTGTAACTCAGCACTGAACAAAAACTCCAGTGTTTTCTCCAGTGTGTGGATTTTAACTTAAACACCTTTGAATGGCCATTGCGTTCAAGAAATCAACAGGTATGTTTGTGATTGGCCACATTGCTCAACACTGCAAAAACACATTGTAAATATAATACTTTGAAGCTCTCCACAGTGCAAACACAAATACACATTGGAATCTGCCATTAGCCAGCTGCCACTTACTTTCATTTTGTTGTTTGTTTATTTTGTTATTAATGTTATGTTTGACAGTTCCTGCCTCCTTCTTCTGTGCATCTTGAACTTTGTTACTTACATATATGCATATATATACATTTTCCATAAATCATCCTGGCAACCCATTTTTTAAGTCTCGCGACCCACCCCAGGGTTGCGACCCAGGATTTGAAAACCACAGGTCTAGAACTGCCACTGAAGCTCTTATGAAATCACATCTGTATTTAACAGGCAGGCTCCACCCCAGCTTTATCACTTAGGTCGACCCCTATCAAATTATCAGCACTTTCTTCTTTTGAGGGACTATACAGCAAACTTTCACAGCACATCCAGATTTTTGCTGATTTCGCTAAACTGTTTAACAAGTCAACCGTCATTGGATTATGTCAGCGAACACAGTATTATTTGACTTGATTGTTTTGAGTGTCATCATAAAATTGCTGAGTCTGGCTGCAGTCTTGCACTTGCACTCTCAGACCCATGCACTTCCGCAAGTGATGTCACTTGCAATTTTTATTTATTTATTTATTTTTTATTTATTTAATTGAATCTCTCAACATTTTACAACAGTAGCCAGGTGTTGAAGAGAAGAAAGAAGATACAAAATTACAATGTCAATTGCAATCACCAACTACACTCTCCACTGCCTGAGATGTCACTTGCAATTAACACAAATCATGTGCATAGTCAATGGAGACAAGACGCTGTGGTGGTTAAACAATTAAAAGTAATTTAGTACTATATCGTACAGAGTCCTGCAAGTCACCTGTAGGACAAATAGACAAGACCTACAAATCTGTGGCCACAGAATAGCAGAATATGAATGCAATGTGTAAAGTCTCTCATTATGCGTTTTCCTGCCGTATAAATCATAAATACTTAATATGGTTTAATGCATTAAGACAGTGATATTAAGAGACCAAATTGGATATACAGTTATTAATAAAATGTACTATATAAGGACAGCAGATGTCCAGAATATGAACAGATCATGCAAAGTTTCACTTTTCCACCCACACCGCAAAACGCTTAATGTGGCATAACGGACTAAGATGATAAAGACCTAATTCAGTATAGCCTACATCGTATTGTTGATGCAAACAGGCAATCAGATATGAATGTGCATTAAGAAATGCACTAAGAAAGTGATATTAAAAGACCAAATTCAGTATACATTTTATTAAAAATATTGGTAACACTTTATTTTAAGGACCAATTCTCACTATTAACTAGTTGCTTATTAGCATGCATATTACTAGCATACTGGCTGTTTATTAGTACTTATAAAGCACATATGAATGCCTTATTCTGCATAACTATATTTTAGATCCTTTAATCCAACCCCATACCTAAACTTAACAACTACTTTACTAACTATTAATAAGCAAATTAGGAGTTTGTTCAGGGAACAAAGAACTAAGAGAATATGTTTTCCCTATTCTAAAGTGTTACCAAAATATACTAGCAAGCAGATGAGCCCAGAACACAATGCAGTAAATTGCACGTTACATGTACGTTTTGCATGAAGGAGATGTTCTACCATTGGTCTAGCTCAGAAGTGGCTAATCCTGCTCCTAGAGGGCCATTGTCCTGCAAAGTTCCAACCACAATTAAACACACCTGAACCAGCTAATCAATGTTTTCAGGCAACTTCAAAAACTTGTAGCAGGTTTATTGGGGGAAGTTGCGGCTATTTAGTTGCTATTTCAGCCTGTCATATAGTTTTTGGTGACAATCACCATCACCCTTTAATGAGACGTTTTATAAGTGACGTGACATGTGGCCAAGTATGGTGACCCATACTCGGAATTAGTGCTCTGCATTTATCCCATCCAAAGTGCACACACACAGCAGTGAACACACACACACACCGTGAACACACACCCGGAGCAGTGGGCAGCCATTTTTGCTGCGGCGCCCGGGGAGCAGTTGGGGGTTCGGTGCCTTGCTCAAGGGCACCTCAGTCGTGGTATTGAAGGTGGGAGAGAGCGCTGTACATTCACTCATTCACCCTACCGGTACGAGACTCGAACCCGCAACCTTTTGGGTTACGAGTCCGACTCTCTAACCATTAGGCCACGACTTCCCCATGAAGTGAAAGGGGCAAACCACAAGCGGCCAGAGTCCAGGCAAATGGTCATTTTTTAGGTGTGTCTATAGTCTTAGAGGCCCTTTCTTAACATCTTTTCAAGCTGTTAAAAGGAATAGGGCTGAAGTTTCTCTCTCTTAAGATTGTGCTGCTTTAGCTCTGGTGACAGCCAAGAGCATAAGTGACTTAGAAGCTTTATCTGTTAACCCGTCTTGTTTAAATTTGCTCCAGGGCTTACAAGAGTTTATTTTCACCCAAACCATGCTTTTATACCTAAAGTAGTCGACTATAGAGATAGAGATAAAGAGATAATTATGTTCAACTACAGAACTTGGCAACGAATGACCCATTGGATTGTAGGCTTAGGCCCAGAAGGCTTAAGGGCCCACTCCACAAGGGGCGTGGCTACATCATGGGCCCTAAATAGGAAAGTTTGAATGAATGAATGAATGAGGCATTTTATATAGCGCTTTATTGTGTATTGCTGTACACCAAAAGTGCTTTACAATCATATGAGGGGGTCTCTCCTCAACCACCAGCAGTGTGCAGCATCTGGATGATGCGACGGCAGCCACAGTACAACGGTGCCAGTTCGCTCACCACACACCAGCTACAGGTGGATAGGAGAGAGAGATAGAGCCAATTCAGTGAATGGGGATTATTAGGAGGCCAAGATTGACAAGGGCCAGTAGAGGAAATTTGGCCAGGACACCGGGGATACACCCCTACTCACTCGAGAAGTGCCATGGGATTTTTTAATGAACACAGAGAATCAGAACCTCGGTTTAACGTCTCAACCGAAAA